GGGACTTGGGCAGGGATGCCCCCCCAACCTAGGGCCTGGGCAGGGATGCCCCCTCCCCAACCTGGGACTTGGGCAGGGATGCCCCCCCAACCTAGGGCCTGGGCAGGGATGCCCCCTCCCCAACCTGGGACTTGGGCAGGGATGCCCCCCCAACCTAGGGCCTGGGCAGGGATGCCCCCTCCCCAACCTGGGACTTGGGCAGGGATGCCCCCCCCAACCTGGGGTCTGGGCAGGGATGCCCCCCCAACCTGGGACTTGGGCAGGGATGCCCCCTATGCTGCACACTTTCACACCTTCTGCTCCCAGCTGCCACACCCATCCAATTTCCCTTTTGTATTTCACCAATCCCATCCCTGCCTTGGTCTGTAACTCCCACTGAACCTAGTCATAGCCAGCCCTGGGTTATGCGGTTCTGTTTGCCACTAGGCTGGAGGGACACGGACTCTTCACTTTAACCCCAAGCCCACCCCGACCCCCCGGGAAGGGCTCCCTCCGGTGTGTCCTGGCTGCTTTGCGGTGTTCAGGGCGGCTTTAAGGGGCAGAGCAGGAGTGACAGGCACCAGAGGCTGTGGGAAAAGGGCTCGTGCAGAACGCACCCCCCCTGCCCCCCCACCAGCGGGCTTAATGGGAACAATCCTGGCATGTAACTTTAAACCTTGGGAAAAGCTGGTCAGCAGTCAGTTACCCCCCCCCTCCACCAAAAGGTGGCCCAAGGTCAGATTCCCATTAAAACGAGCGTGACACCCTTCAAGTCATTTCTATGAAGCTTGCTTGAGTGAGACACCCCCCCGAGTAACAAAAACCCAAACATGAAACCGGGCTGGGCCAGCCGACCCAGACCCAGAGTGGAGCTGGCTGGTCAGTCACCCCAGGGCCTGTGGACAGGGTCAGGACCAGTAACCACCCTGATCTGGATTTGATAAATGGTGCAGAAACACTGGCAACCTGCTGAAGCAATATTCCCCCTTCCCCCCCAGTATGCCCACCCCAGCATGCCCATCTCTCACCCAGGCAGTTGTGTCCATCGTGCGCCAGCCGGAAGCCATCGTAACACGTGCACCTGTAATTCCCAGGAATGTTGATGCAGTCATGAACGCATCCACCGTTGTACTCACTCTCACACTCGTCGATATCTGTGAGAGGAACCAGAGGGACAGAGTCACAGAGAGACCAGAAGGACGTGGTCAAGGAGAGATTGAGGGACAGGTTCAGGGACAGACCAGTGAGATGCAGTCAAGGAGAGACCGAGGGACAGGGTCAAGGAGAGACCAATGGACAGGGTCAGGAAGAGACCGGCGGGATGCAGTCAAGGAGAGACAGAGGGACAGAGTCAAAGAGAGACCAATGGACAGGGTTAGGGTGAGACCGGCGTGATGCAGTCAAGGAGAGACAGAGGGACAGGGTCAAAGAGAGACCAATGGACAGGGTTAGGAGGAGACCGGAGGGACGTGGTCAGGGAGAGATCGAGGGATATGGTCAGGGAGAGACCAGAGCGATGCAGGCAAGGAGAAACTAAGGGACATGATCAGGGAGAGATCAGAGGGACACAGTCAAGGAGGGAAAAAAGAGACGGGGTTAGGCAGAGACCAGAGAGACAGAGTCAGAGAGGGACCAGGGAGACAAGGTCAGGGAGAGACCAGAGAGACATGGTCAGTAACCTTCCGCTATCATTTGATAGAATGTAGAGTAAGCAGAGAAACTTGTCAGATTTAAGGGAAGGTAGAGAAAATTCAAAATCCTCCAGTGTCGCCGATGTGAACTACAAATCCAAATATGTGTAGATGTGAGCAAAGGAGAGCCAGGAAAAGGGAACAAACAGCTGAATTATTTAGACAGAGATGAAAGAGCAGAGGAACGAGGCGGCAGTCATGCAGGCGCTGAGGAGAGACGCACTAAAGCGAGTGCAGCATGATGATATATATGTTTAAAGAAAAACACAGAGCGAGGGTGCACGGCCTCCGGGAGAACGGGAGACGCGAGGCTGAGCAGAAGCAGACATCCAGCTGAAACAACACAGGGCCGGCAGAGGCCCGGCACGCCGTCCTGCTCGCTCTGCGCTCAATTTGGGCCCAATGAGCCCCATGACTGCCTGGTGTTTGTAGTCGTGCTGCTGAGAGGCAAAGTGCAGTGGGCTGCTTAATTTAAGCCAACAGACTGGGGGGGGGGGTCAGGTAGTCGGAAGAGCCCCAGGGCAGCAACGTCGGACACCTCTGGGTCCCCGATATCCGGCCAGAACCGGACCTGAGAAACACAGACACGGGACACCACCCAGCTCAGTAGTTAGACACCTCCACATGCACTTGGGATCTCCCATTGGATAAAGGAGGGAGGTCAGAACATAAATCCTGCAAGAAAAGTGAACAATCAGGTCTGTCTGCATCTGTGTCTCCACCCATATCCCTACCCAAGTCTCCATCCACGCCTCTACCTGCGTCACCAAGTTATCTCCCCCATATCTTCACCTTTCACTCCTCCTCTGACCTGTCTCATCTCACTCCACTTCTGACCTGTCCCTCTCATTCCTCTTCTTACCAATCATGCCTCACTCCTCCTCTGACTTGTTCCATCTCACTCCTTTTCTGATCTGTCCCATCTCACTTCTCCTCTTACCGATCATGTCTCACTCCTCCTCTGACCTGTCCCACCTCACTCCTCCTCTGACTTGTTCCATCTCACTCCTTTTCTGATCTGTCCCATCTCACTTCTCCTCTTACCGATCATGTCTCACTCCTCCTCTGATCTGTCTCATCTCACTCCTCCTCTGACCTGTCCCATCTCACTCCACTTCTGACCTGTCCCTCTCATTCCTCCTCTTACCGATCATGTCTCACTCCTCCTCTGATCTGTCTCATCTCACTCCTCCTCTAACCTGTCCCATCTTAATTTTTCTCTGACCTATCCCACCTCACTCCTCCTCTGACTTGTTCCATCTCACTCCTTTTCTGATCTGTCCCATCTCACTCCTCCTCTGACCTGTACCCATCTTAATCTTCCTGTCCTGTCCTACCTCAATCCTCATCAAGCTGGCTGTTGCTGAGCATCGCCTCTGACGCTTCAGAACACCTCTCACCACACTTGGGCAGCAGGGTAGAGAATGTGGGCTTCTGCCCCACGGGGGTTGGGATTCTGCCACGCCTGCTCTTCGTGAGGGATCACAGTCGCCGCTGCTGGGGGGGGGGGGGCCCTGCCCCCTTTGGAGCAGCTTTTACGAGGCCACTTAGATTCATAAAGCAAACTTCATAAGCCTGGGCAGGCAGCCACCACAGCATTGTCAGATACATTAAAAAACAATAACATAAAAAATGACACCATGAAATATGGTTTAGCAGTAATACTAATAACAGCAGTAAAAGCGGCGGGATAATGGCGTGCAGGGGGGGCCGCTCTGAAGCCAGGCCCTGCCTCCGCTACCCTCCAGCTGGCCATTTCATATGCTCCATTCCTTCTTTTAACTCCATTTGATAAATTGTGTAACATGTTTTTGGTGCTTGCCATCCAGCCCAATACACTGAACCGTTACCAGCCCTCCCCCCATCCCACCATGTCCTCGAACGACACCCCCTGCTGGTCACACCCAGCACCAGCCTGTAGGATCTCTGCCTTACAGGCTGGTCCAATCAGGTGGGAGAATTTCTGGATGTGAGTCCAGGCGGGATTGGGATCACTGGGCAGAGTGACAGTCAACATTTTTATCACAGCAGGGAGTGAAGGACCATGGGCCTGATATCATTTTAAGGCATCTGATGTCGCTTTTCTTGACCCCCCCCAGGAGCCGCTGGACCCCGACTCGCACCCTTTACCTTCACAGTGCTTGCCATCCCCTGTGTAGCCCGACTTGCAGATGCACTTGTAGGACTTTGGCGTGTTCTGGCAGATAGCATCGATGTTGCAGTTGTCCAGTGCTTCCGTGCACTCATCCACATCTGGGAAGAGATGGTGTGAGTCAGAGTCAGGGGGTGAGTCAGAGTCAGCAGGTGAGTCAGAACGACTCGCATCCCGGGTCCGACCACCCTCGCCGTCCTCCATGGCGTGTTAGCTGGCGGGACGGTCCAGGGGAGACTCAAACAAACAAACTGACGTGAGCTCTGGCGTTTCAGGAAACCACATCTTTCATCTCCGTAAATAAGCAGCTGGCTAGTTAAGCAGAGATAAATAAATGAGCATCACAGTGTAACGGCCTGGATCCGCATCCTGCCTGTGGGACATAAAGCGGGACCTGATCCCTGTTAAATGCCCCTGGTGGTGGGGATTACCCTCAGTAACTAGCAGATCTGCTGAGACCCGTCTGGGTTCGGATGCCCCCATTAGAGCCCTTTCAGACAGGGGGGGCGAAACCCCAAACCCGCCTGCAGGAAAACTGATACCAGATGACTGTCCATTAGTTCTCCCTCTGTCCCCCTCTCCATTCTTCTCTCCCCCCCGTACCCCTCTCTCACTCTTTCTCTCTCTCTCTACTCCCGTTCCTCTACCACTATCTCCCCCCTCATTTTGTTTTGAAGAAATTCAAACACATGATATTTTATTAAATACTGAAATTATATAATTTTTAAATGAGACCAATTTTCAAATCTCCTCAAATTGGGCTAAGAAACAGACCTTGACCCAGATATCACCTTCAGAGTCTGGCCCCTTACAAGGGAACCCAGAGGTCCACCGCGCTCTGGTCACAGTCGAGTACCTCACATCACATCGGTGCCACTGCACATCCTGATGGCCTCTCCAGCCTTGTGCTTTGGCGGTGCATGAGGGAAAACAAACGTCAGGCAGCGTCCCGACTAACCTAAGCCTTCGTTTCAGCAACGCCGGGGCTCATAATCCGGTTCCATGAGTTTCTGCAGAACTGAGTACGACTGGAATCATACATTAATCTGGAGCCAAGAGGGAAGGAGACACATTCACACACTGCGTGATCATCCGAGGGCCCCTGCCAACCCGCACCTTGTTACGTCAGACCCCCCTGTGAAGCTCATGCAGTGGCACGGTCCAGATGCCCTTCGGCATAATACCTTTTTATGGACTCCGAATGCCTATTCTGTGATTCACCAAGCCACTTAAGTCTGAGGAGAGCCATGCCGTCATTTGGATTCCTGGGCCAAAGATCTGAAGCAGTCTCCAAAGCCGTGGGGCACGAGGTAAGCCACATTCCTCACATTTTAGGACGGGACTGGCAGTGGAAAGCCCCCTCCTCCCTCTTTGGAAAAAGGGTGCTATAGTATTAGGCCTTATCTTTGCCCAGAGAGAGGTGTTGTGCCTGGCGGGGGAGGCCATGCTGCTCTGCCAAGACTGCCGTGTCGCAGCGCGTCAAACACCGAACATACCTCACAACTCACATTCCCAACCTACACACTCTTACTGTGCAGCCTCAGTGGTACAGCTGCAGGTCTCCTCAGAGGTCAGCCTCCCGTTCCACTGCAGTGGGGCATCCCGGCCCAGGAGGCTCTGGTCAGTTTGCCGAGTCACATGACTGTCACATGGCAAAGTCGACAGCAATTTGTAACTCATCAGCTGGCAAGCGGCTGCACCGAATTCGACACGATAACAATGAGGTGGCCAGAAAACCACAGGAGGAACAGCTTAGAGACAAGGCCATTTGTTTGGAAAAAAAGGCAGAGTCAAGATGAAGTAGCTGGAAAATGCAGACTGAGAGGAATAAAAACTCATTATTGAGCTTCAGGCCAGGAGGGCTCAGTAATGAATGCTTATTTATTCCGCAGGAGTGATCTGGCATTTAAAAAAAATGAAACAGAGGCAGCCGTGCCTGTTTCATGTCCGTGTTGCCTCTGGCCAAAAACGGGGCCACAAGAATCCTCACTGGAGCCCCTCTGAATCCAAAGAGAAGCACATCTTAATCAACATGGTCCGTGGTCCAGGTCTGGGGACCTTCCCATTCATGCTCGGGAAACAAAATGCTCGCTAACACCACCCTAGTAACTGCCCTGAGAAACGTTCCCACATTCTGCACCAAAGAACCTGCTGGAGCCACCTGTACCTGCCCACCTACAGCCAAAATACCTGCTGTAACCTGCTCCACCTCCTCTCCTCCAGCCAAAGAACCTGCTGGAGCCACCTGTACCTGCCCATCTACAGCCAAAATGCCTGCTGTAACCTCCTCCACCTCCTCTCCTCCAGCCAAAGAACCTGCTGGAGCCACCTGTACCTGCCCGCCTACAGCCAAAATACCTGCTGTAACCTCCTCCACCTGCTCTGCTCCAGCCAAAGAACCTGCTGGAGCCACCTGTACCTGCCCACCTACAGCCAAAATNACAGCCAAAATACCTGCTGTAACCTCCTCCACCTGCTCTGCTCCAGCCAAAGAACCTGCTGGAGCCACCTGTACCTGCCCACCTACAGCCAAAATACCTGCTGTAACCTCCTCCACCTCCTCTGCTCCAGCCAAAGAACCTGCTGGAGCCACCTGTACCTGCCCACCTACAGCCAAAATACCTGCTATAACCCCTTCCACCTCCTCTCCTCCAGCCAAAGAACATGCTGGAGACACCTGTACCTGCCCACCTACAGGCAAAATACCTGCTGTAACCACCTCCACCTCCTCCAGCCAAAGAACCTGCTGGAGCCACCTGTACCTGCCCACCTACAGCCAAAATACCTGCTGTAACCACCTCCCCTCCTCCAGTCAAAGAACCTGCTGGAACCACCTGTACCTGCCCACCTACAGGCAAAATACCTGCTGTAACCACCTCCACCTCCTCCAGCCAAAGAACCTGCTGGAACCACCTCCACCTTCCATCTTCCACCCAAAAGACCTGTTGGAACCACCTACACCTCCCCTCCTTCAGCTAAAGGACCTGCTGCAACCACATCTACCCGCCCTCCTACAGACAAAGGAAAGCTTCTGCTCTTGACGGCAGAAGGTGAAAGAGGGGCCCTGGAGGAATGGTAACTAGGTGTGCGGAGGTGTGTTCACTTTGCCCACTGAGACCCTCCGTGTTTGTTGGGGTTTGCCCAGGGAGGGTGAAGAGACCAGGTTCCAGAAGCGACCTCCTCCCCTGGAACAGTGGGGGATGGGAGGATGGATGGCAGAGGGCAGTACAGGACTGCTGGAATCCTACCAGTGAGCAAACCTTGAGCATTTTCGATGTGAGGAGGCTTCCTGTGTTTGCTTAAAACCTTTACAGCAGAGCCGAGACTATGACTCATGGTGGTGCTGTCAGGTCTCTTTTTGAGAGCCACTGAAGATGGTGAGATCTTCTCCAAAAATAAGCATCTATGAATCCAATAATTAGTCATGTACCTTGTAGGTATCTTGGGGTCTGTCGATGGTTACTGGACTGGGAGTAATGAGTTGTCTATTCCCGGCCTGGTAATTAGTAACGGCTAGATGCTTGTAATAACACCACAAGGATACCTCCATGGAAACCCTGGTCCCTTGTGTACTTACAATATGTGTGAAACTTGCCCGGAGGCCACAAAACACATTAACAAGAGCTCGCAGCATCAATGGGGAGAGCAGAGGAGTAGACTTTTTTGAATAGTTGGCTCGGACCTGCGCCCACTCGTCGTACTGTGCTGGCAACTTGAATGAGTGAGCGTGTCCAGGACCTGGTCGATGGTGACAGGATGGTCACGGCAACAGTCCACGAGGCTCACGGGTTGTCAGGTGGAGGAGACCACTTCTTGAAAGGTGATGAAATACAGACGTCAACGTGAGGGCAGAAGTGAGTAAATTTAGCAGTGGCTGTGGCTGAATGAAGGCACGCTCTGTCCGGGCTGCTGTGAGCATGTAAACCCGCAAACGAAAATACCAGAATCATCCGCCGCCCCCCTTCCCTCTACCTTCAAAGCCCTATTGCCGGCAGATCAGCACACAAAGCCTAAGTCTCCAAACCAGGCCCAGACCGTCAACTGTAAGTAGGTGTGCAAACAAGACCAGGATGAATAATGATTAACTCCTCCAATGATGTTCTTAATGTAAGAAAATGGACAAACAGTAGCTAAATGTAAAAGTATCACTAATTATACAGCTTATCTGGCATACAGTTCTGGAATATTATGGGCTGTACACAGCAGACACACATTCACGCAAGACGGACAGAACAGAGAAACAAAAATGTTCCTGGAGTTGCTTCATGATAACTGTGTGAAACAGCATCAAGATAACTGTCTGTAATCTTGCTATGTCATCAATGTCAGTGTGTAATTTTGTCAAGTCACCAGCATGTTATCTTGCCATGTCATCATAGTATAATCTTGCCATGTTATCAGCATGTAATCTTATCTTGTTATCAATGCATAATCTTGCTATTTTACCATGGTGTAACCTTTCTATTTTATCAGTGCGTAATCTTGTTATATTATCAGTGAATAATCTTGCCTTGTTATCAGCATGTAAACTTGCCATGTTATTAGCATGTAATCGTGCCTTGTTATCAGTGCATAACCTTGTCACGATGTCAGTGCATAATTTTGCCATGAATCACAGTGTAATTTTGCCATGTTATCAGCGCGTATTCTTGTCCTATTATATGTGACCTTGTCATGTTATCCATGAATAATCTTGCCATGTTATCAGTGTGTAATTTTGCAGTGGTATCAGGATGTAATCTTGCCATGTTATCACCGCATAATGTAACAATGAACAAAAAAGACAAAAGAAGCACAGGTATTTAAGCGGAGACCTCAGTTTCATACACCCTCCTCATCTGCGTTAAGGGGACACCCCGAACCCAAACACCATGTGTCTGTGTTAAGGGGACACCCCCCATCCCTGACACCTCCCTCATCTCTGTTACAGTGACACCCCCAATCCCCGATACCTCCCTTATCATGTTACGAGGGCATCCTTGAACCTCAACACCCCCTCCTCTGTGTTAAAGGGGATACTCCCAATCCCTGACACACCCCGCAGCTGTGTTATGAGGACAACCCTATCAATGATGAGCCCTCATCTGTGTTAAGGAGACAC